AGCTCGCCTGGAGGGCCCGGGGCGCCGGAGGGAGGGCCCGGGGCCTGCGCGGAGGGATGCGGAGACCCCTCCTGGACGCCTTCCCCTTCTCCTAACGCCGCTTTCCTTCTCCCTTCCGCAGGGGCGATCGAGGCAGAGGCCGTGGCGGACGCTTTGGTTCCAGGGGAGGCCCTGGCAGTGGGCGAGTCTTGGCTTCTGCTTTAGCGAGGGTGGTTCTGTAGCCTGTCAGGCTTAGGGGGTGGGCTGCGGCCGCCCCCCGGGGCGAGCTGCCGGGGCGCAGGGACCGGGGCTGGAGCTGGCAGTGTAGCGCAGGATAACGGTGAGGCGTAGGACCGGGGGCGGGCGGGTGCCGGTCTCTCCGGGCCGGGTCTCTCAGGGCTGTGGGGAAGCCCTTGGTGTCCGGCCACTGCCGGTGACACCGGGGAGGGGGTTTAGTTATCGTTAGGGGGTGGGGGTTATGAAGAAATCTTTCTTATTTCTGTAGGGCCTTTCTCGCGTCTCTACGGAACGGTGACAAAGGGGGGGAGCATTCGGTGATGAAGAACACAGCGGTGAGCAGGTGGACGGCCCTACAGAGAATAAAGTTGTTTTTTTTTTTTCTTTTCTTTCCCCCCTTTAGGTTCCGGCCCTTTGTGCCGCACATCCCCTTTGATTTCTATGTCGTGAGTAACCCTCTCCTACGGAGCTGTTTGCAGGCAACAGCTGCGGGACTTTTCCTTGTTTAAAGATGCATCTTAAAACCCTCGTTTGCTGACTTTGATGGTTTGACTTCTTTTAGCGTAGCCGGAGTAAAGGAGCTCACTGAAAACGCTGTCAGTTCAGTAACTAACTCGAAATAGATCTTACTGTCTCTGTTGTTCGGAGTACTTGTGTCACACGGGATGACTAGGATGCAGTTGAGTAACAACAAATAAATGCCTCGATTGATTTTTTTCGGCTTTTTAAGGCACCCTACTCACCCAGCTCTCTACCCCAAACCTCGTGGGTTGCTCCCATAGCTGTCACATGCCTGTCAGATATTCTGCAGGGTCTTTTCCCACGTTGGTCCTCCCAAGGACCAACAGAAACACACGTTTCCCAGCTTTTTAGAGGAAATAATTTTCTCTTTTTTTTCCTGCTGAGCATCTTCCACCTTACAGACATGTGACTTCCAAGGCAAACAATTTCACGCACTCTTGCCTTCCAGGCCCTGTGGTGGTGAATCCCATCATAGCAACTGAAAAGCTCCTGCCGTCCACAAACAAAGGGCGTAACTCTTAAGGGACTGTAATATAGTTAATAAAAACCCTCATGATAGAGTAATTTTTAATTAGATCTGCCTTTTCTCACACCCTGTAGTCACATGGGCACATTGGTGGCTCCACTGCCTTTTCTAAAGACCTGCCGTTCCTGTCGGAGCACGGTGAGAGTGTACAGGCAGGACAGGCAGCTGCCCACTCTCCCTCCCTTAGGATAACGTGAAAATTAAATGATAAAAGCAACAAGTGAGAAGCACGATGGGGAATTACAAAGGAAACAAGCACTGGAGAATAAAAAGAAAATGGAGTAAATTTTGCTGATGAGTGGGTTGAACCAAAGTCTTTTTTTCTTGGACGTTGCAGTCTGATATCTGATCCCGTTTCAGTGCGAAATGGCTTTCCCCCGTGTAAAACCTGCCGCCGACGAGACCGCGTTCAGCGAAGCCTTGCTGAAGAGGAACCAGGATCTTGCTCCGACTGCTGCTGAACAGGTTTTGTGCTGAAAATTCCCTTAAATTCTTTGGTTGGATGTTACTGCAGCATTTGAGAACGCACAGACAGCTTATCTGTCAGAGCATAGCCAGGAATAGCCGTTAGTAGCCTAAAAAGTAATGACTTCTCCCTGAAATAAGCACTGCAGTAGAAATATGGGTGGAGTTTCTTAAACAGTGTTTTTAAAATGTTGCTTTTATCTGTTTATTACATATCTTGCTGCATTTTGCTGTGCAAGATCAGATTATTTCAAGTCATACTGGACAACCAGACAACGCCACTCCTCTCCCTTTCCTTTTCAGGCTTCCATTCTTTCTTTGGTGACCAAAATAAACAACGTGATTGACAATTTAATCGTAGCACCAGGAACATTTGAAGTGGTGAGTTCCAAAGTGGTGAGCTTGGGGGGGAAAAAAGGAGTTACACGGGGAGATGCTTCGGCACGAGGGGTGTTCTAGCTACCAAACCCGGCCCAAAGTGGATCGAAGATTCATGCTGCCTCCTGGAAATGTAGCACGCGTGTTAAACTCACTCATTTTTGCTTTGCTCTTTCAAACAGCAAATCGAGGAGGTTCGCCAGGTGGGTTCCTACAAGAAGGGCACGATGACGACGGGGCACAACGTGGCCGATCTGGTTGTCATTCTGAAAATCTTACCCACCCGTGAGTTATCGGCTGCGCGGCCGCTGACCGAACCGCGGTGCTTGACCCCGCTCTAACCACCTCTTCCTTCTGCTTCTTCTCCCTAGTGGAAGCTGTGGCAGCTTTGGGAAACAAAGTGGTGGAAAGCCTGAGAGCGCAGGACCCCAGCGAAGGTGGGACTCTCTCCTGTGCCGTATGGGGTTGAGCAGGATGTAACCTGATGCGAGGCAGTTTCCCGTTAAGCTTTGGGGTTTCTCTGAAGGGGACGGTCCCCAGCCTGGTGCCACAGCCAAGATGCGCGCTCTGTCCTGCGTTCCCGTGTGCCGATAAGATCTCTCAGCCCCTCCGTGAGGAATTATTGGGTTTTTCTCCTCAGTCCTGACCATGCTGACCAATGAGACCGGCTTTGAGATCAGCTCGGCTGACGCGACGGTGAAGATCCTCATCACCACGGTGCCGCCCAATCTCCGCAAGTTGGACCCCGAACTACACCGTAAGAGCTCAGCTTGCTCTGCCCCCACACCTGAACCTTCACTGGCGTGTGGGGAGCCAGCTCCTGCCCCACACCTACTCACCTTTTGGTTGAAAATACGGGCATTTCTGCTCCTTTCAGTGGACATCAAAGTGCTGCAGAGTGCCCTAGCTGCCATCAGACATGCTCGCTGGTTCGAGGAGAATGCTTCACAGTCCACGTGAGTTTGGCCTCAAATGGGGACTGCAGCTCAGGCTTGGTCGAAGTCATCTTTACAGAGAATGGGGGGAAAGCAAGGAGAGCTGCTCCCGCAGCAGGAAGGTGCGTGACGCGTTAAGAACCCTCCTGCCATCTTCTCCAGGGTGAAGGTCTTAATCCGGCTGCTGAAAGACCTGAGAATTCGATTCCCTGGCTTTGAGCCCCTCACGCCGTGGATTCTGGACCTGCTGGTGAGCGCACGAGGGGGGATGCTGGTGTGCCTGATGTGCCGTAGCTAACTTGTAGCTGCCTGCGTGTCCCTGGGCTCTAGCATAAAGCAGATCTTTGCAGCTCCCAAGCAGGAGTTGAGATTCTTACACTTCTCTCTCATCCTAACTCCCTCTTTTTTTCCTTCTTCAGGGGCACTATGCTGTGATGAACAATCCCACCAGGCAGCCCCTGGCTCTCAACATCGCATACAGGTCTGTTGCCGTTTGCTTCACTTGTATAAAATCCCGTTACCATCTCAGTTCTGAACATAAAAAGAAAAGCAGAAGAATCTCAGGGCTTAAAGTGGAAAAAAAGCAGACTCCTCACATAGATGTGCTAACTGCAGACTTCCTGGCTGCATTTCTGTGCTGGAACGGTTTAGTTTTAACCCAAAACGTCTTGTCCTGTAGGCGCTGCCTTCAGATCCTGGCTGCGGGGCTCTTCCTCCCTGGATCTGTTGGGATCACCGATCCCTGCGAGAGTGGAAACTTCCGAGTGCACACAGTTATGACCCTCGAACAGCAGGTGAGCTGCCTTGCCTGCCGCGGGAAAAGGGACTAGGACCTGTCCGCGCTCTGACTCTCCCCTGTCCCCGCAGGACATGGTGTGTTACACAGCGCAGACGCTCGTCCGCATTCTCTCTCACGGAGGCTACAGGAAAATCCTCGGCCAAGAGGGCGACGCCAGCTGTAAGTGGAGTCAATGCAACGCGTGGGTCTTCCTCCATGCAGGCTGTCAACGTCTCGGTGGGGGAACAGGACTGCTCCTCTGCCTTGGCAGAGAAAGTTAAGGGCTCAGAGAAGCGACTTGTTAAACCCCGGAGCAGTGGGAGGCGAAGCTGGCGAGATAGAGGGTCGGGTCGTGCTTCGCCTTGCCTGTCCTGGGGACGGAGCTTGTCCGTACTGCCCAAGGTCACCTCGAGCCCCCATTTTTGCAGACCTGGCTTCTGAAATGTCCACGTGGGATGGAGTGATAGTGACGCCTTCTGAGAAGGCTTACGAGAAGCCTCCGGAAAAGAAAGAAGGAGAAGAGGAAGAAGAGAATCAGGAAGAACCCGCTACAGGCGAGGAGGAAGAAAGCATGGAGACACAGGAGTGACTTGCCGAGGTAAAGCCCGGGGGTATGGCTGCCGGCAGGGAGGCAGCTCTGGGCTGGGGAGGGAACGGTGCAGGCTGCCTGCGCCGTGGGGCAGCGCTCCCCCTTCGGCAGCCTGTCTCTCCCCCTGCAGCAGGACCTCCCATCGCCAGGTGCTGCTGGCTGAAAGACCTGAAGAACCCAGCAGAGGACTGAGCCCGTCCTCGGCGAACGCAGCCCGCCGGCATGACCTGATCCTTGTACGTGTTTTTGTAAGTTGCACATTAAAGTGTTCCCCCCTTTCGAGTGCGTCCCGTTTGTTTAGGTAGAAGATGCTCGTTATCGAAGGGGGCCAGAAAAAGGTCTAACTGGGGGAAGGGGTTCCAGAACCAGGTTCCCACCTGGGGATCGCAGAATCCCAGACCGGCAGGGGGTCAGTAGGGACCTCTGGAGCTTATCTGCAACCCTTGGCCAGAGCGGGGTCACCCAGAGCAGGATGCACAGGACGGCGTCCAGGCGGGGTCTGAATCTCTCCGGAGAAGAAGGCTCCACCACTCTGGGCAGCCTGCGCCAGTTCTCCACCACCCTCATGGTAAAGAAGTCCCTCCTCGTGTTCAGACGGACCCTCCCGCGTCCCAGTTTGTGCCCGTCGCCCCTCATCCTGTCGCTGGGCACCGCTGGAAAGAGCCCGGCCCCGTCCTCTCGCCACCCACCCTTTCGCTACCGCTCGGCGTTGATGAGATCGACGCTCATCAATAATACGAGAGGGGACATGTGCTGACACGGGCACGTGCCCACCTCTCCCCGAGCACCTCCGGTGGCGCTGGTGGAACTCAATGCCGCGAGACGTGTACTGGGGAGCCCAGCACTGGCCACAGCACTCCAGCCACTGATCACACCGCCCTGAGCTCTGCTCTCCTCATGTTGACCCCCAATCTGCTCTCCCTGGTGGCAGCATCTGCCTGGCTCCGCTCTCCCCACGGCACATCAACGTAGGGAAGGCTGTGGCCGTGACATGAGAGTGTTACAGACTCACGCCGCCTCACCAACCCATAAACAACACGTGGTCGCTTTTATTACGGCACTTATAAACCTGGAAATACAATTCAGGGTCCCCCCCCGTTCCTTCAGCTGCAGCTGAAGAGCTGCGGCCTCACTCTGCAGGGCTTCTTACCCCCTCCTGTGCTGCGGACACTTGGCAGAGTGCTGCTACAAACGGGGATACCCGCTCCCCTCGCCAGTGGCCCGTTCCATTCCCTGTCCTTACAGGCTCGTACCCCTCACCGTCCTGCTCCGGTCCAGCTCACAGGGCTTTTGGCGTAGCCGTGGTGTGAGGCGGATCCGGCCCAGCGCTACTGCGGGGGCCTCACTTGCCAGGCAGGCCCTGGGGGTAGCCACCCGCCGCCTCCAGCATGGCCTTCCTCCGCACTGTCTCCTTGGCCACACTGTGGTTCAGCCTCCGCAGCCGTTCCTGCGTTGGGTAATGGCAGCCGTCAGGACAGGGACAGGGACTAAGACCCCCAAAACACTGTGGCCCCCAACCCCCTGGGGTCCCCGCACTGACCTGGGCGTTCTGCAGGATGTTGTTGACCAGCACCACCCTGCGCCGAGCATTCAGCAGCTTCTTCACATAGGGATCGAGATCCAGCGCCACTTTCTGGTCCTCGTTGATGCGACACAGCTCTGGGGAGAGGGCAGAGGCTGGGAGGGAGCCCAGGGCACCGCAGACCCCCAGGACGTGTGGGGTAAAACCCTGCTGTGCCCCCACAGCCGGGCTGCGGAGGTGACTCCCCCACCGTGTCTCACCTGTGGCCAGGCTGTCGATATGCTCCCGCAGCTCCACCTGGCTCTCCCTGTGAAGGGGACAGCTTGGTAACCAGGACAAAGCCCTCGACCCCAGCCCCACAGTGTCCTGTCCTGCCCCAAATTGTCCTGTCCCCCCGCCCCAGCCCCAAACCCATCCCTACTCCCCCTCCAACATGGAACCTGTGCCCCCAGCTACCCCCCCAAACTGCCTCCCGGTCCAAACCCTCACACCACCCACCTGCTTACCTACAGCCCCCTTCAACCAGCCCTAACACTCCCCAAAACA